GAGCTTCTCCATTGTCTTCTTCCACAGATGTAATGGATTTGATTCCTGGGTATTTCATTTGGTGGGGTCCATGTGTATAGTCACCATTTATGTTGTTGGAAAAAAAGGTATTTGCAATGAGTAGGTGGTTGGTCTTGCAAAATTCTATCATATGATCTCTGGTATTGTTTCTATTGCCAAAGCCATATTTTCCAACTACTGATCCTTCTTCTTTATTTTCGACTTCAGCATTCCAATCACCAGTAATTATCAATGTGTCTTGATTGCATGTTTGGTCAATTACAGATTGCAGAAATTGGTAAATTCTTCAATTTCTTCATCTTTGACTTCAGTGATTGCTGTGGAAGTTTGAATAATACTAGTGTTAACTGGTTTTCCTTGTAGGGATATGTATATTATCTTATCACTGACAGCTGTGTACTTCAGGATAGATCTTGAAATGTTCTTTTTAATGATAAATGCAACAACATTCTTCAGTCTGTCATTCCCAGCATAGTAGATCATATGATTGTTCTATTCAAAATAACAAATATTGGTCCTTTTCAGCTCACCAATGCCTAGGATATTGATCTCTATGCATTCCATTTCATTTTTGACAACTTCCAATTTTCCTAGATTCATACTTGGCACATTCCACATGCAGATTATTAATGGATGTTTGTAGCTGTTTCTTCTCATTTTGAGTCATGCCACATCAGCAATTTAAGGTTCCAAGATCTTTACTGTCTTCATCATTAATGTTGACTACCAGAGCTCTGGTGGCACTACGGTTAAGGTATTGGACTGCTAACCAAAATGCTCATAGTTCAAACCCACCAACTATTCTGCAGAAGAAAGACAGAGGCAGTCTGCTTCCATAAAGATTTAAAAGCTTAGAAATCCTATGGGAGATACTATGAGTCAGAATCAACTCAATGGTAGTGAGATTTTTGTTTGTTTGTTTGTTTTATTTTATCCTTTGAGGGTGCAGCTCTCTCCCAGTCATATTTCTAGTACCTTCCAACCAGAGGGGTTCATTTTCACTATATCAGGCAACGTTCTGCTGCTAGTCATAAGGTTTTCACTGGCAAGTTTTTTTTAGTAGTAGGTTGTGAAGGCCTTCTTTGTAGTCTGTCTTAGTCTACAAACTCCGTTGAAATCTGTCTACCATAGGTGACCCTGCTAGTATTTGAAATATCAATGACATACCTTTCAGCATCACAGCAACATGTAAGTTGTCATACCACAGTATGACAAACTGAAAGACATGTGGTAGATGAATAAATAGTATTTTGTAAATGGTTAAAGTGTCTAGTTTCTGAGAGATTTTGTAATCCACATTTTAGTCACTTTACCTTCCAAATTTGCCATCTCATCACTTAATTCACAAAAATAAAGGAAAATAGTTAGAACCCATGATACGATTGCCTCTCAAGCCAATGCTCTGTGTTATTAAAAGGTGAATGGAATGATTAATTTTATATATTACAGGATAATTCAGTGTGAAACATGTGATCTAGTTGATTCTTTTTGTGTGAAATGATTTTATTTATCATCATCCATGAAATTTTTTTTCCCAGGGCTTTTAAGGGAGCATTGCCTACCAAGGGAATGTACAGGACAGAAATGGAAAACAAAATATTGGCATTAATTCATAAGGACAAGGATGAAAGTCAGAAAACTGGTAGGAAAAACTTTGACAATATTTTTGATGGAGACCAGACTATTTGCGCTTCTATCTCAAGCAATTTCAAAGAATTGATGCTGCTTAAAAAAAGAATAAATCCTACTAATTTCTTTGATATCACAAATACTAAATAATAAAATTGGTGACTGCTTTTTTCAATTTTGTAACTAGTTGCTTTTATGTCATGGAGGCATACCCTGAATATTCTCTTCCATGGTACAGTTCTTAGAATTTATTTAGTAAATATTGATTTTTTTAAAAATAGATTTAAAAAATCTCCTATAGCCAAGAGAATATTCCTGTACAATTGAAACAGTCACTGACCAAAATGAAAACCTAACTGTTATGCTGAGAGGCATTGAAAATATGAAATGTCATTTCTTCTCTTGGTATATTGGAAGTTTCTCTGAACTAAGGGTCAAAAGCTTTGGGTTTTAACTTGATTCTGCCCTTGAAAATTTATAATGGTCAAAGATGTTAGTCAAGAAACATTTATTAAGTGCTTCTGATATGCTAGGTAATGTCTCAGAGATACAGCAATGAATAAATAACCAGAGGATTTCTTCATTATGTACTCAATATTGTTATTGCAAAGACTTCCATTTCAGATCTATAAATCCAAGATTTATAGAAGAAATATATCTTCCAATATTTTGATTCCAACTTTTTTTATTTTCTTTCACTACAACTAAGATTATTTTTCTAGGCTGTAAGTATCCAAAGACAAAAAAAGTACCATCAGGAGTACAAGCCTACTCAGGCCTTATTCATCTTTTGATTCTCAAAGCTGAGCATCATGCTAGGCACAAAGAATGGGTTCTATAAATATTTGCTGAATGGCAAAGAGAAAGAAGGAAGGGAGGAGGGAAGAAAAGGAAAGGGAAGGAAAGGAAGAGGGAAAGAAGAAAAGGAAAAAAATTTGCTTGCTTTAGATCTCCCCTAGTGACAAAAAATGTCATTGCTTATCATTTCCTTAGTGAGATCATGGCTGTGCATGGGTCCAAAATGTATGATTCTAGCACTTGTGAGCATCTTCATTTAAATGTCTAAATGGATACCTGGGATAAACTGACTAGGTATAGCATCCTGCCGTATCTTGGTTTCTTGGACAGTGTAGACCTAAGGGTCCCAGATTTATATATCATATCAGAATTGTATATTATCTTGGAGATCCATTTCTACTCTCCTGTTTTGCAGATGAGGGATATCATCCCAGAATCACTGCCCGCAGTCACATAGCCAGTTTCCTACTAAGGCAAGTCCAAAATGGCCTCTCTCCTCTTCCATTGTCCTTTCTTTAACATGATGCTGACTTTGCTTCTTATATAACAATGAAAACAACAAATTCTTGTCCACCTATGAGGGTGGAAGAAAGCAAAAAAGTATTCCAAATGCCAGATCCCACAACTGCTGCAAATACTCAAATAGACCTCATTGAAATGAGCCATGTGTCATGGCAGAGTAAAGGTAGAATGTGTAAAATCCATGTACTACCTATGCACATTGCAGATGATGAGCCCTGGTCCCTTTAATTTTAGTCATGTGGCTACTTGGTTGAGAGGTCAACTTCAAGGGGAGGAAAATAGGTGAGCACTTCTATTCAGGACTTTGAAGGGTTTTAGAGAGATTTCTGTCCCCCAAATCTCCTCTCTGCACTGATACTAATGCTTGATAAAAAAAACTAAACCAAACTCACTGCCGTCGAGTTGATTCGACTCATAGTGACCACTCCTTGGATTTCTGAGGTGGTATCTCTGCCAAAGTAGATTGCCCAATCTTTCTTCCAAGGAGCAGCTGGTGGGTTTAAACCACCAGCTTTCTGGTTAGCAGTCAAATGTCTTAGGCACTATGTCACCAGAGCCCCAATGCTTGATAGCAAGCCATAATTCTTTGTTACTTATCTGGGACACCAAAAATTACGAAGCCAGTAGTAACAACAAAAACTGACTTTAATGACCTCTGGCCACATGTAGGGCATTGTACAAAGTGCTTAATATGCATTGTCTCATTTAATCCTTACTGCACCCTACAGAAGGAGCTCTGGTATTGCAAAAGCTAAACACTCAGCTGCTAACCAAAAGGTCAGTGATTCAAACCCACCTACAGGCTCCGCAGAAGAAAAGACCAGGATATCTGCCTCTGTAAAAATTACAGCCTAGGAAATGCTATGGAGTAGTTATACTCCATCATATAAGGTTGCTTTGAGTCAGAATCAACATGGCAGTAACACTCTGTGGAATATATACTGCTATTACTCCCAGTTTGCATATGAGGAAACCAGATGTTGAGCAACCTGCCCACAGCCTGAAGGGTGAGAGCTAGGGCTTCAGACCAGTTCGTTCCAGTTTGATCCCTTGCTAAGCATTTGCATTCCACTTCCAAATACACTGAATCAGAGTCTGTATTTTAACAAGATCCCCAGGTAATTTTCATGTACACGTAAGAATCCATAAGATCCTATGTATACATAAGGATCTTTAAGAACTATCTGCAATCTTATTCATCCAAATTAAGAGCTTCATCCAAATCCAGATAGGTTTTAAAGTTTGAACTGTGTTCTAACAGTAGCCAGGTGACCTACGGCAAGACACTTAACCTCTCAGAACTTCCGGTTTTTTATATGTTGACTAGGGACAATGATACCTGCCTGCAGGTATGTCATGGAGATTAGATATAATACATGTAAAATGCTTAGCACAGAGTCTAACACGTAACACATTCTTTACACAGGCAAGCTATTCTAGTATCTTCTTCCTGTTGTTCTCATTTTCTATACCAAAACTCATGGGGTCAGAAACATATTTTGTCTCTTACTGCCCACAGAGAATAAGTATAAATAGGGCACACTGATATTTGTCCCCTTCCTGGTAATTCATGTAGGTCCCTGGTGGCATAATAAGTTTGCACTGAACTATTAACCTAAAGATTGGTGGTTCAAACCCACCCAGCTGCACAACAGAAGACAGGCCTAGTAAGCTTGTTCTGGAAAGTCATAGCTTTGAAAACCCATGAAGTACAATTCTACACTGTAACAATGGGGTCATCATGAGTCAGAATGGACTTGATGGCAACAGTTTAGTTTTGGTAATTCTTTAGTTTTGGTAACAGCAGGTATTAGCATAGAGGCAACAGCCATATTGAGAGCACCCAGGCCAGACTTCTAGATCAACTGACAGGTAAGGAGCTACTGGTAGAAGTAGCTGGGTAATAGTCTATGAGTAAAATATAAAGGCAATACATTCCTAACAACTTCCAGTAGGGTGTCAGGAAAAGTCTTTTTTCAGAAAAAAATAGGTTTGAGTCCCTTGGACTGCTTCAGAGATGTTTCAATTGCTCACATTCTCCTCGCCTTGCAATTACTGAGCCAACTGGGACCTTGACTTATCTTTTTCTTTTTCTTATTAGTGTTTTGACTTGAGGAAGGAAGAGACTGCTCCAGTTCCCATTTCTTGGTGTCCCAGTCTTCATCCTGCTGATCTAGTGGCAGCCCCTTCTGCTGAGCAATACTGCGGTGATCCCTACACTCGACCTCTGCCCTAGGAAAGGGAGAAAAGAGAAGTTTCTTAACACATGGAGCAAGAGAGCCTCTCCTTGGCTTTGGAATCTCTCTTCCTACTTTCTGAACACAGAGTGGATTTGCCTACTCTTTGTATATAGTTCACATACTTGCCTGCAGGTATGACATGGAGATTAGATATAATACATGCAAAATGCTTAGTACAGAGTCTAGCAAGCAGCACGTTCTCCACACAGGCAAGCTATTCTAGTGTCTTATTCCTGTTGTTCTCATTTTCTATATCAAAACTCATGGGGCAGAAACATATTTTGTCTCTTACTGCCCAAAGAGAATAAGTATAAAGAATAAGCCCATAGGGAAGGAAGGAGGCCAAAATTCAGCATTACCAAGTACACACTAAAGGAGGTCTGACACACTAAAGAAACTACAATGAAGTAATGAAGTAGAGAAGAAGAAAAATAAAAAGTGTAATTCTAGTGAGATGTTAATAGAATCAAAGACAGTGAGGTGCTTAGCTGAAGAACTCAAAAACCCCTGAACCAAACCCAGTGTCCCTGAGTCAATTCCAACTCTTAGTGACCACATCGGACAGAGTAGAACTGCCCTGTAGGGTTTCCAAGGCTGTAAATCTTTACAGAAGCAGGCTCCCTCATCTTTCTTCCATGAAGCAGCCTGTGGGTTCAAATTGCCAACATGTGGTTAGCAGCTGAATACTTTAACCACTGAACCACCAGAGAGAGCTCTTTTTAGCTGAAGAGGGTACTGCTAATTCTTGAAGTGCTCACATTTATAGAGCAACTAGCATATTATTGGGATGACTCCATTTAATTTTTCATTGTTTTTGCTTTCTTAATTATAAAAGTGATACATGTTCACTGTACAAAATTTAGAAGTGCATAAACATATAAGAAAATAAAAATCATGCATTGTTACATATATATTGTATCGATACATAGAATATATAAAGAATAGATAGTTCTTTACAGATGTATTTTTGTTATTGTGTGCTGGTCAAGTCAGACCCTATATGGCAGGGTAGAACTACCCCATAGAGTTTCTAGGCTGTAAACCTTATGGTAACAGATCACCAGGTCTTTTGTCCCACTGAGTTGCTTGTGTGTTCATACTGTGAACCTTTTGGAAGCAGCCAAATATTTAACCACTGATCTACCAGGGTACCAGGGCTCCATGTAGATTGATGGATGGATGGATAGAAAACTGGATGGATGGATGGATGGATAGATAGTCAGATGGATAGATAGATAGATAGATAGATAGATAGATAGATAGACAGACAGACAGACTGATAATTATATGCACCTGGACAATGGGAAGCATACATATGTACAATTTTGCATATGAGGTCAACAATGAATGAGTGATTTACTTAGAAACATTGATGAAAGCCATTCGACAGAGATAAAATTAGGATCAATATGAGGATAAATGAAATTAGAGAGGTGGGGGATGGAACAGGCAAACCAAAAACCAAACTTGCTACCACTGAGTCAGTTCTGACTCATGGTGATCCCATGTGTTACAGAATACAATTGCTCTATAGGATTTTTTTGGCTGTGATCTTTACAGAAATATTTTGAACTGCCAATCTTTGGGTTAGCAGTTGATCATAAACTGCTTGTGACATCCAGGATCCTCAGAACAGGTAAAACAAACAGTATTTTAAGTACACAGTATTATAAAAAGCACAGTTCATGCGGAGGACAGCAAAGCTACCTGCCTTTCACCCACACCCACCCTCAACAAACTGGAAACGACCTTTCAATTCTCAGGCTGCACAGCATCCTTTATCTGCTCTGCTCTTTTGATCTTTGTCACTTTCCTTTTTGAAGTAGGTTAATTGATAATTTATGCTTTGTCCCAAACAGGGAATTTTTTTTTAATTTTAATTTTTTAAATTTTTTTATGAAAATATACATAGCAAGACATACACTAAATCAACAATTTGTGTGTACAATTCAGTTACATCGATTACATTCTTCAAGTTGTACAACCTTTATTGCTATTCTTTTCTAAGTATTCCACAACCATTAAGATAAATTTACTGCCCCTAAGCTTCTCATCTAAACTTTCCAGTTGCTATTGTCAATTTGATCCCTTAGAGATAATTCTTTAAAAGAACACACTGATCCAGACTTTACTGCTGTTTGGTTGAAAGATGACTTCCAGGGATAGTTTCTGTTTAAGGTTTAAGGATTATCTTAGGGCAATAGTTTGTTGGGGGAGAAGGGTTATACAGCCTCAATGGCTCCAGAAATTCTAGATCCCATGAGAATTTGAAATTCTGTTCCACTTTTTTCCTTAGTAAGAGAATTTATTCACGTCCAGTTCTGTATCTGATTTATCTTTAAATCCTTTTCAGTATCTAGCTCAATGCCATGTACACAGTAAGACTCAAAAATATTTGTTGATCCTACTTTGGTGAGTCATGACTGGAGTCTTCAAAGCTTGCAAGCAACTATCTAAGATGCAGCAATTGGTCTCTCCTCATCCGAAGCAAAGAAGAACAAAGAAAACCAAACAGCTATGGAAACAATTAGCCCAAGGGACTAGTGGACCATGTAAACCTGAGCCTACATGACCTTGAGACGAGAAGAACTAAATGGTGTCTGGCTGTCACTGTCAACCACCCAGAAAGGAGTCAGTGTAGGAGATCATGGATAGGGTGGGAGAAAAATGTAGAACAAAACTTAAAATCATAAAAAAGACCAGGATTACTGGTCTGATACAGACTGGTAAAACTCCTGAGACTATGACCCCTACTTACCCTTCTGGCCTGGAATTGAACTCATTCCTGTGGCTTCTGGCCAAATAATAGCTATGCATATAAGGTGAACATTTATACCAGGTAGGTACGCTCAACCATAGGAGATCAGAGGGGTGATGTTTGCACAGGGAGATAGCTCAGAGGGCAGGAATACAGAGAAAAGGAGGACATAGGAAAAAGGTGACCACTGGGAGGAAGGAAGAGAGATAGATGTTCCAATATGGGGATTGCAATCAATGTCATGAAACAAAATGTGTATGAACTGTTGTATGGAAAATTAATTTGCTCTGTAAACTTTCACTCAAATCACAATAATTTAATAAAATGGAGGGGGTGATGTAATACATTTCTGCTTAAACACTACACAAAATAAATTTTTTAAAAATTTTCTTGAAGAATAATTTACTACTTGGAAGGTTGGATTGAAGTTGAGTCGGTCCATAATGGTGTCCAGAATCTTCAGAAAATTACCAAATATTGTATAATTAAAATTATCTTATATCCTTTCTTTTCAACCATTGTCATCATCATATTTGCCTAGGAGCTCACCTACTCATGATATAAGTCATTAGGAAATTCTGTAAATGATTGCCTTCCCATAGTCTAAATGGCTCCAATCCTCCCTGCTGTTGCCACTACCTCTATCACATGAATAATTTTGCAAAAAGGATCTATTTCATCTTGTAAATCCACTAATGAGTTCATGCTCATCTGTCTGCTCATCTCACTATGGTCACCCATCTTCATGATCTGCCACTTCTCCCCAGTGTGAATACTCCTCTCAGCCAAACCATTCCTCCATTGGTCAGATCTTATCAATCTTTCAGGATTCTTTGGGTGGCACAAACACTTAAGCACTCGGCTACTAACTGCAAAGGTTGGAGGTCTGAACCCACTGAGTGTCTTGGAAGAAATACCTGGCTATAGGTTTCTGAAAGCTCACAAGTTTGACAACCTTATGAGGTAGTTCTACCCTGCAATACATGGAGTTGCCATGAGTTGAACTCGAAGGAAATTTGTTTGGTTGTTCTGTTCTGTTTTTTAGTTCACTTCCAAGGCCCAGATGAATTTCCCCTTAGTTAAGGATTAAGGAGTGCTGGTGGTGCAGTGATTAAAGTGCTCTACTGCTAACCAAAGTTCTGCAGTTCAAAACTACCAGCTGTTCCACAAGAAAAAGATTTGGCATTCTTCTTCAGTAAAGATTTATAGCCTTGGAAACCCTATGGGGCAGTTCTTCTCTGCCCCTAGGGCCACTATGAGTTGAAATCACAATGAGTTTGATTTGGGTTTGGAATTTAGGATCCCTTCTCTAAACTTCTGTCAGAAAGGAAGTTCTTGGTGGAAGCTGCTGATAAGTAAAAATGACTAGCACATGATGTGCCTCACATTTGTTGTTTTGGTCTGCTTAGTTTCACCTTCTCACTTTTCCTTATTATATCACTCCCTGTTCTTGGGGAAACCACTCTTCCTCCACTCAGTTATGCTTGGGTAGTATATCATAGTCATCTATGCACTGGTCACAAGGATAGAGATGAGATTACACAGAGGACGTCACTAGAGAAGAGCCAAAGACTGAATCCAGATTCTCAGCATCTAGAAGGAAAGCAAGACAGGAATTAAAAAAAATAATAATAATGAAAAGAAATAGAAAGATAGAAGGAGAACTAGGAGAGAGTCACCACAGAGAGCAAGGGAGAGGAATTTCAGGAATGTCAAATGCTGAATAAAGTGCAGGTGAGAGGTGGACTGAGAAGAAGTCATTGATTTAGTAACCAGGAGCTCACTAGTAACTTTAGTGAGATCTGATTCAGTAAAATGTTGGAGGAAAAGTTAAAGAGAAGGTAGGAGGTGAGGAAATAGAGACAAATATTTAGATTAACTTTCAAGTGGATAAGGGATTTGACTGCTAACTCGAAGGCCAGTGGTTCAAACCCACCAGCTGCTCCATGGAAGGAAGACTGGGTGATCTACTTCTGTAAAGATTTACAGACTCAAAAACCCAATGGGGGGTCACTATGAGTCGGAAATGATTCAATGGTAATGAGTTTGGTTTGGTGTAGTTTCGAGTAGCTTAGATGTACGGGGAAAAGAAAGACACAGCAGAATCTAGGGAGACCTCAGGGTAGAGAAAAGACTTTTTTCTGTTGTTGTTTAATAAGAACCATTTAAACATGTTCATAAGCCCCCAGAAAACAGAAAGATGGAATAGAAACAAAATATAGGAGACAATATTAAAGATGCAATAAAGAATAAAGGAATATGATCTTGTAGGAGGAGTAAAATATTGGATCTAGGGACCATATGAAAGGATAACACTTTTCACAGAAGAAGGGACAGGAAGGCAAAAGGGGAAGAGATATAAATTTGCATATAAATTTGTCGGTGTAGGAGGTTGAAAATGTATGCCCAATGACCTCAATTTTCTCTATTATATAGAAGGTATTCCTCTGAGAGACAAGGCTGAGGTGTGATGGAGTCTCGAAATTGGCAATAGAAAGTAGGAGAGGAAGCAATAGCCACACTGTTCTGAAGGCTCAGCTAAAGGTAGAAATCTTAGAACTTCTGGTGGTACCCATCTATTTACTTGTGATGTTTTCTCTAGTGGGGCAAGCAGAGGAGTATAGAAGACAGAAGATTGACCCAAGGTTGGGAATTTTAGTATATATGCTACAGAAGGACAAAAGGTTTGAAGGTTAAGAAGTGGAAAGAAAATAGAAGAAGCAGTGCATTGTGGTGTCCAGATAGCAAGGAGAAATTTTCAGGCAGGTGATATACTGGGAATGTTGCAGGCTGAGTTCCAGAATAATGACTAGAAAGTAAGCTGGAGCTCAGAGAAAAATTTAATAAGAGGATAGTAACCTTGCAAAGTGGAGACACCCAGGCCCCAAAACAATGCCATGTGCATCTCCCCGAGCTTTATAAGCTATGGGTTTTTATAGTAGTTTTAAGGCCATGGAATACGTGATTTCAAAAGACCTTATGCAGGCAGGTTATTCATAAAATCCTGACCCTTTAGTGAAAGTCAGGAAGCAGAACAAGGCTGTAGTCAATTCCAAATGATAGACTTTAACTTTCTCCAGGCTAGGTGCATGTGCAATTTCTTTCTAAGATGGAGTCTGTGTGTTTCAACATGGATGTCAAGAATTCTTCCACACAGGTGTGTTCTGCTATTTGCTTTTGGTTTGAGTCTTGGTCTCATCTTAGATCGGCCATCTTAGTTCATCAGGCAGTACAGGAGGGCAAGGATGCACAGGCTCCAAAACTGGTTAACACTGACCACAGGTAGTGGGTTAGAAGGCATCTCAAAAATGGCCTGTTACCAGGAAATGCCATCTAAGTAGTAAATTTACATTTGTGTGATCTCTCTTGCAGTGTTCCTTCCTTGGTCTCAGAATCTGAAGAATGTGCTTGCCCTGTCCTGTGAGCTGTTTCTGTCTTCGTTTTATGATCTTAAGCATGTGATTGCAGGGTCAGGATTCTTATGTGATTATGGCTACAAGTAGTAAAATAAAGGCAATGTTTAAATTGAACAAGATTAATATGGGGTTTTAGGTTACAAAGTCAGAACACATATTCATCTCTTAGAAATTCTAATCTGTCTATACTATTACAAGAAGACAACAATGAGTTGAAATAAGAGTGGTCTTGATGCATCAGACACCTGTGCACTGATCCAGGAACTGATGAAATGAAGAAAGAAAGTTACGATCATATAATATGTTAGAGTTTAAGAAGTCAGAGATCAATGTCTGTTGATAGATACTGAGCTCCAAGTGGGTGAAGGTCACTGAATGGAGGAACTGGGGTGAAGAGACCCTCTGCCAGTCAGGAGTCAAGATTCTCCTTTCTGCTCCCCAAATTGCCTTATGATTTCAGATACTTCCATTGTGAGACATCACCTTTGAGAGAGATTCTCATAGCTTAATTCTACAGACAACTAATGTCATCATAGGCAAAGATTGTACTAGTTTAACTTTCAAAAAATAACCTTATTTTCAAGCTCTTAGGAGGACATTTCACTGTCATCTCCAGCACTTTTCCTCTAATATTTGCTACTTGTTTGTAATTTTTGGTTTCCAAGCAATGCTGCCCTCACTCAGTTACTCTTTCTTATATGAGTCACTTATTGACCCACCTGGATTCTATTTCCATCCCTCCTAGAGCTATAATTGTTCTGTGCATAATTGGTACTTAATTCTGTTTGAATACCTGACAGTGCATAAATGAACAAATGCTAGAAAAGCTCTCATCTCTGGTGTATGTGTGTATGTGCCTGTGATTCATAGATGACAAGAAGTTTTAAAAAATGGGAAGGTCCTTATTGATGGTAGCTTAATTCACTGTTTCATTTTAAAGATGAAGACACTGAAGATCAGGAAGGAGACTTGCCCAAGTCAGATAGCTAGATTGAATTTTTCAGCAATCTGAAGGAGTCTCATATATCTTGGACCATGTCTCACCCTTAAACTTAGTATCCACCTTCCCTTATCTGAGGTAATTTTTGTACAAACTGAAACAGTGGATCAATACAGTTTTGCCCCAAACTAGTCATTTCAGTGAAAAATTAGTCAAAACAGCAATCTCCTGCTCTAATTTGCTCATTTCATTTTCACAACTCTCAATTTCAGTCACAACCTTGTTTCTCTGCCCTTTCTATATTGGAGAGAAATGAAACTTACTTCTCCAAGAATGCCACACATGTTTTCTGCCCGTAGATCTGTGCAATCCTCTTGGGTGTGTCTCCAAAGAAGTCAGGGGCATCAATGGCAGCATGTAAGGCATGCAAAGTTTTGAGCACATTCAGGTGGCCAGACTCAGCTGCAAAGTGAGCTGGGGTCCAGCCCACATCAGTCACCAGGCAGGGCCTAGCTCCATGTTCTATCAAGAGGTGCATCATTTCCATTTGCCCTTAAATGTACCAAAAAAAAAACAGGATGAAATTAAGAAAAGAAGTCTCTGCTGACCTGAGGCTAGGACCAGCCCACATAACATAGAAGGAAAAAAATGTGTTGCCAAGTTGATTCCAACTCGTGGCTACCCCATGTATTACCCAGTGGAACTATTCCATAGAGTTTTTCTGGCATAATCTTAACAGAAGAAGATTACCAGGACTTTATTCTGTGGTACTAATGGATGAGTTCAGTTTACCAATTTTTAGGTTAGTAAACCAAATGCACTGCCGTTGAGTCGGATCTGACTCATAGTGACCCCTCGTTGGGTTTCCAAGGCAGTATCACTACAGAAGTAGATTGCCCAACCTTCCTTCTGAGGATTTAGGTTAGTAGTCAAGTACAAATTGTTGGTACCACCCAGTGACCTAGATAACACAGAAGAGGACAATAATTTGCATTTAAGACCTCTCCAGTTTTCTATCATCCCTTCTCCTTCTCCTCCTTACCAGGCAATCAGTCTTCCCTTTCTCCCTCTAAGAACCATGCCTCTATTTGGGGCCTGAGGTTCTACATGCCCTCCCTGTACTCCTTTCTGTACACACCTCTCACCTGTCCCTTCCCTTGGGCCCTTATTAGGAATCTTGCTTTTTCTCCCAAGTTACAGTGTCTGTCATGGTGTTGTGATACAAATAATAAACATATTTGGCTGCTAACCAAAAGGTTGGAGGTTCAAGTCTAAGAGGCACCTCAGGTGAAAGACCTCCCAATCTATTTCCAGAAAAAAATTAGCCATTGAAAATCCTGTGGAGCACACACAGTTCTATTCGGACACACAGGGTCGCCTTGAGTGGGATTCAGTGGCAAATGGTTTTGGGTTAAAACTCACTCTGCTTTTAGCAGTCTCAGTGTTGATTTTAAAAACAAATACTCTTATAATGTAAGTTCCATTTACATTATAGCACAAGTTAACGGCCCAGACAGTCCAGTCAGATAGCCATGGGTTCATAGTAACACCACTGGGTATTACCATGGTATTACTAAGTGGCGATACCACTTACTATTTGTGTCACCTCAGAATGAGAAATCAGTGTGTCAGAGATTCCATTTCTTCATTTGTAGATTGATTTACCAATTACCTCACTGAGTCTTAAGAAGTTCTAATAAAATCATAGACATAAAGCACACAGCACAGACCAACCATATAAGCCACCATCCTTTTATACTTTCATTTCTACAAAAATGTTTCTATTGACTTCTCTGCGGCCAATCTTGCTTCCTGACAATTTATTCTCCATACAGGAGTTAAAACAGTTTTTAAAAGTAAGAAAGTGGTACTTTCTTTTTTTAAAGAAAAAAAAATTTATTGTGATTTGGGTGAAAGTATACGGAGCAAATTAATCCTCCATACAGTAGTTCATACACATTTTGTTTCATGACATTGACTGCAATTCCCCACAATGTAACAGCTCTCTTCCCACTTCCTGCCTGTAGTTACCTCTTCCCTGTGTCCTTCTTCCCTTTGCATCCCTGCCTCCCAAGCTATCTCCCTGTGCAAACACTGCCCTTCTGTTCTCCCACAATTCATCGCTCTAAGGAGTGTATCTACTTAATGTGAATGCTCACCCTATATTCCTGTCTATTGTTTGACTGGAAGCCACAGGAGAGAGCGCAGTTCCAGACCTGAAGGTTAACCAGGGGTGACAGTCTCAGTGGTCTCACTAGGCTCTATCAGACCAGTAAACCTGGTCTTTTTTTTTTTTTTTTTTAATGATTCTGAGTTTTGTTCCACATTGTTCTCCCACTCTATCCAGCATGTCCTGTGAAAGCAGAACTTTCTTACTTAACATTCTTCAATGGTATTCTATTGCCAAAACCTTTAACAAGCTCAGTGGCTGAGTTTTCCCATTATCTTTTTCCAATTCTATAATCAAGATATGTCAGGCATGGAGGATACAATAATGAACAAGACAAAGTGTCTGTCTGGGGACGTGCCATTCCTGTTACTGGAGGAGAGGGCAGAGGACTAACAGTTACAGAGAGCAAATTATTACTAGATGCAGCCCAGCCATTATCTTAATGAAGCCTCACCACAGGACTCTAAAGCGTTATTGCCCCATTTCACAGATGAGTAAACTAAGGCCCAGAGTTGAGTAACTTGTTTTTGTGTTAAAACTAGTAAGTGGTGGTGCCAGGAGTGGAATACAGGCCCATGTGGCTCTGTTGTTATTGTTGTTGTTATGTGCCGTTGAGTCGGACCCGACTCATAGCAACCCCTCCTTGGGTTTCCGAGGCAGTATCACTACACAAGTAGATTGCCCCATCTTCCTTCCAAGAAGTGGATGGTGGGTTTGAACCACCAACTTTCTGGTTAGCAGTCATGTGCCTTAGGCACTATGCTACCAGATTACCCCCCACAGTCTACTGACTGATCACCTCATGAACAGAGGAATTAAAGAGATGGATCTTACCCAGGCATTGTCCACTTACCTTTGATTGCAGCCCAGTGAAGGGGGGTCCGGTCATTCCAGTCCACATCCTTGTAGTTTGGGTCACAGAGACCTTTCTTCAAAATCTTTTTCACTACATTGTAGTCTCCTGCAGCCACAGCTTGATGAAGCTTTGTCATGTCTGACATTTTGGTCAATTCCATGGCAAAAAAAACAACTGTGAGAGAGACATGTTACTTAGGAAATTCTCTACAAACCTTCCATCCTTAGTGAGTGTTTCCAAAGATTTCTTTCTGTATCATTGACTTTCTTTCCTGCCTTATAAATTTGCACCCAGGGTTGTCTCAGTTATGTGCTCTGCTGAGTTTGTATTTAGATCGATCTTACTTATGCTTTGGTGTTATACTGGATAAAGGATTTGGCCACTAACCAGATGATCAGTGGTTCAAATCCACCAGCCACTCCACAGAAGGAAGATGGGGCAAACTACATGTGTAAAGATTTACAGCCTTGGAGACCCAACGGGAGTCACTATGAGTTAGAATTGACTCAATGTCAGTGACTGCAGTTTTTCTGTTTTACTGTGGTTAGTGCATATCAGTCCCCAAACCCAAAACTATCAATGGCTCCCAACTGCCTACAGAATTACATCTGAGCCCTTGAGCTGGCATTTAAGACCCTCTGCTACCTGGCTTCAATCCACTTTCCAGTGCTATCTCCTGCTCCTTCTCCAAAGTGCTAGTTACGTGACTTTGAATTAGTTGTGTAATTCTCTGCCTTGGCTTCCTCATCTGTAAAATAGAGATAATTTGCCAGTGTTGTTGTGAAGATAAAATGGCAATCCGTATGAAAAGTTTATACTGGATACAGAGCAAGTGCTCCATGAGAATTAAATACTACTATTCAACACCAGTCGGGGAGATGGACAAGATACAAACATACAAATAAGATAGCTAAAAATTGTTATCTATTCATTTTATGCCACAAACCAGTAGTTTTCAAACTATAGTCTTTAGACCTCTGGAGATCCCTGAGGCGCTTTAAGGGAGCTCATGAAGTCAAAAGTAATCTTATTATAATATAAAGATGATAGTGACCTTATTCACTGTGTGGACAATTGTTCTGATGCTTTAAAAGCAATGGTGGGGAAATCTGCTAGTGTGTTAGTATGAATTAGGAAGTGACACCAAACTGGACTTGTAGTCATGAAATTCTTCATTACCACAGTCTCAAAAAAAAAAAGCCCAAAATTCAAGCTTCAAAGGAATGTCCAGAATGAAGTATTAAGAATTATTATTTATTAAATATTGACCCTTGATTGTATGACTTAATAGATGTGATTTTTCTATATTATATAATGAAATGTGTCAGCATGTGGAAAATCTGCATAACTTAGTGAAACATTTTCCATATGCCAGGAATATGATGTTACAGACTCATCCATCATTAATGAGATCTGCTCAAGAAAGAGCAATGGATTTTAACAGAACAGAGTATGAAAGTTGTACTGATATTGCTTTTTATTCCACATTGCAATTAAGCTTTAGGAAACTACCACTTGTCCAATCCTGGTATAGTATCAAGTCCATGGGTGGTGCATGTGGTTTGCAACTGACCACAGGATGAAAGACTGGAGGTTCAAATCCACCCAGGCACACTGGAAAAAAAGACTTGGCAAACTGCTCCTGTAAAAATTATAGCCAAGGAAACCCCATGGAAAAATTCTACTCTATAACTCAGGGGCCACCTGAGTCAGAATCAACTCAACAGCAACTAATTTATAGGTAGAGAAAGTAGATTGTTGGTTGTCTACAGCTGGGATTGGGGTAGAGTTGGGAAGTAACCACTAATGAATACAGAATTTTTTTATAGGGTGGTGAAGTGTTCTAAAATTAGATTGTGGTGAATGATGGCTCACAACTCTGAATATACTTGATGTTGTTATGTGCCATCAAGTCAGACCCGACTCATAGCGACCCTTCCTTGGGTTTCTGAGGCAGTATCACTACAGAAGTAGATTGCCCAACCTTCCTTCCAGGGAGTGGCTGGTGGCTTTGAACTGCCAGCCTTCTGGTTCACAGTCAAGTGCTTTAGGCACTACGCTACCAGAGCTCCTCTGAATATACTTAAAACCACTGAATTTTACACTTTAAATAGATTAATTTTGTATCACATGAATTATATCTTAATAAAGCTATTTAAAAAATAAATTAGAGTATTCATTAAATAATAACCAAAGTTATTTGCAGAAAATATATATGATTCACTGACTACTGAAATGTAACTAACTTTCCTTCACGTGAATCCTTATAAATTTAAGTGCTTGAGTTCCTGTCTTTCTGGCAGAGATGTCTCAGTTTACAGATTAGTCAGTAAATATAAAGTGTAATAAATATGAGTGATCTAAAAAACTATAGTAAACATCTGAAGACAGATGTTATATAAAAATACTTACTGTCTGGTTTGAAATCCAAGAACTTCTGTTCTGGTAGGCAATTTTAACTGTCCTGAGTCTTGTTGTGTTCATACCATGGAAACTGACCCCTCCTCCCTCATTAAAGCTCTCCAATTTGCTTCAGCCTCATTAAGTGTCAGATGAGGGGTGGAGATTGCCCCTATATGGCACTGATACTCCTCAGCAACTCCAGTCTGCTTTTTTAGTTCAGCTGTGGTTCTTAACAGGTTCTTTCAAATAGCATTTAATTAAAAAGAAATGAAAATTGAAAAAACAAAAAGCAACCATTCCTAGCCCACATGATGCTGTGAAGCAGATAATCTGTCCAGTAATCACTGGTATGTAGGAAATGTTTGTCTTGTGTGGAGTGGTAGACAAAGCATTGAACCACCACGTTCACAACTAGTTGTCAGACCTTGTCAGGGTCCTTAATTTCACTGAGCCTTCATTTTCTCTTCTGAAGTCTTTCATCTTCATCTTCTGAAGTCTTAATACCTTTCTCTTAGGCCTGTTCAATTGATTAACTGAAATAATTTATAAGGCACCTGTGCAAGATAAATGTTAGGGGGAAAAAAAAAAAAAAACCCTTTAGGTGTTTTCCCTTGCCTCTTCTTTTGGCTTTCCTGTTAGAACAGGCACCTATCTTCAGAACGATGTTGATCAATAAGGCACCTGCCCCCCTTAGTCTCTATCTCTCCCTCCTTTCTTTCCTCTCCCTCTTTTTCTTCCCACATATATTCATTGAATGCTCTGGTGGTGTAGTGCCTAAGGCATTTGATTGCTCACCAGAAGGCTGGGGGTTCAAACCCACCAGCCACTCCTTGGAAGGAAGGTTGGACAGTCTACTTCCATAGTGATAACTGCTTCGGAAACCCAAGGAGGGGTCACTATGAGTTGGGTCCAACTCAATGGAAACACATTTTTTTTTGTGATATCTGGCAGATACAGTATTGAACTCCATGGAAAACAGGTCAGTCATAGCATGCCCTCCCTTTGTTCCCTTGGAGCTTAGAGTCCAGAGAAAAAAGACAGACTACAAGCAAGAAAACAAACAAATGCATAAGTGTAAAATTATAACTTGTGTAAGTGCCATGAACAAGCTACATGAAACAACAGACAATAATGGGAAAGGAGGGTGATCATGGACGGTCTGAAGTGGTGACATTTGCACTGAAACCTGGAATATGACAAGAAGTCAGGTATCTGAAGAGCTAGGGAAGGTATACCAAGTAGAGGAAGAAAAATATCTTGACTTGTGTCAGGAATATAAAGGAGAAGGATTTTGTTCTATGGAGTGTGGAGTGAGCAGAACAAGATGAGTCGGGATAGAAAATGGTGAGCTCATTCAGAGTTTTCCAGGACATGGTAAAAGCCTAGATTTTATTCCAAGTATAAGGAGAAATTATTGAAAAATTTTAAGCAAGAAACAAAATAGTCTAATTTTGATTGCTAACCAGAAGCCTGGTGGTTCAAACCCAGCAGCCACTCCTCTGAAGGAAGGTTGGGCAATCTACTTCCGTAGTGATACTGCCTCAGAAACCCAAGGAGGGGTCACTATGAGTCGGGTCCGACTCCACGGCACATAACAACAACAATGGTTTTGGACTTGTAAATAATCTTTGTACTCCCTCCTGGAAGGAGAAAGACACTGACTTTCTGTGGGGAAAATCAGAGCACCAGATCTTTAATAAATTAAAGCAGGCCTTACTGCAGGCCCTGGCCTTAAGATTTTCAGATATACATAAGTCTTTTGATTTGTTTGTGCATGAGCACCAAGGCATAGTGACCAAAGTTTTTACCCAGTTCCTGGGATTTTGGGGAAGACTGGTGACATACTTTTCTAATACTTTAGATTCAGTGACACAGGGCTGGGCTGCCAGCTTGGAAATGATAGCACTAACAGTGAAGGTGCTGAAAGCTGCTGAGAAACTAACCTTAGAATGGACCATCTGGGTTTATACTGCTCATTCAGTCCTGGAAGTCCTAGACCCAAGAGCCACCCACTGGCAGTCCTGAGCAAGAATTTCTCGATATCAGGCCTCCTTAGGAGACAAGCTAAGTGTGCTGATCTAGTCAGAAACTACCATAAACCTGCCTACCCTGTTACCCACTTTACCCTGAGCAGACCCCATTCATCACAATTGTGTCAGGAGGCTCAACTCAGTATTCACCAAGAGGCCAGATCTCTCTGGCCAGCCATGGCATGAATCTGATCTCATTTGTTTCATAGATGGGAGCAGCTTCATGGAGAGTGGACAATGGAAGGTGGGCTACACAATCAGCAGCCTTACCAAGGTCTTGGAAGCATAGACACTCCCTTATGAAACATCTGCACAGATGGCTGAGCTAATCACCATGATTCAGGCATTGAGGATGGCATCACAGGTCTGATGGTTAAGTTTCTGTGTCAACTTGGTTGGGCCTGGCTGAGTGGCTGGGCAGCTGAATGTAGTTATTCCGCATGGTGAGATTGATAATGAACTCCATGGTGGAATTGGAGCAGCTGAGTAGCTGCTTTGGGTATGTAGTCTGCTTCCCATGTATAAGAAACAGCTTTGGGGGTGGTCTCTAGCCTATGGCACACTTGGACCCTGCATGTAGCTGTGTTATTATTCAACAGTCTGCCATGTTCTGCCAACCTTGGGACTTTCAAAGGATTTGAATTAATAGCCTGTCATGTGGTTTAGTAACATCAGGACTGTGCCTTTTTACTTGTCAACCTTGGGCTTGTCAGTCTCAGCAGGCAGTAGCTGTAT